ACCTGGGAAGGGAAAACAAGACCCAAGAAGGAAGGGAGTACTGAAAAAGTAGTCCCTGTGTCAACCAGTGAGGAGACTGTCATACCTGCTGCCTGAAGGATTACCATGGGCTCTGCAAGTGTGATGGGAGGTACATTGAGCCTTGGCATCTTCAGTATTCATTGGCTAGGCCTAAGAGATCAATTAAGATGGGGAGTGGATCTAGCAAAAGCGCTACTCTACTACTGCTGGGCACTGAAGGGCAGTCAGCCTTCTAAAGGCCTGGTGTCCCATCAATAGGACGAGACTGTTGGAGGGCGAGAGTTACTGCAGCGACTAGCCCAATGGCCCTCTTTGTCACACTTGAAGCATGCATCAGGAGATAACTGGCTCTTAGAATGGGCAGGTGTTTTCTGAGCCTTTACCACTGCTGGCCACAAGTGCTTGGCTTGCAGATTTGCTTTCTGTCAGATACAAGATTTTTTATTGGCTTCTATTTGTAACTCTCGGGCATTGAAACTTTAAAGGCCATGTTTACCAGGTTTCAAATGGGGTGTTTGAAGATCATTTCCAGGTTCTTTTGTGGTTCTTTTTGATGTCACAGACTGATTGGGTGATAAAATGAGTAGTTAGGACAGTGACTCCTGCTGGGGAGATAGAGTCTAATTGAGTATACTGAGTCAGGGCTTCAGTGAACTGGTTAAGGAAAGCACTATGTTCTTGTCTGGCTTGACTGTCTCTTCTTGCCTCTGTATTAATTTGGTAAGTCCAGTGCTGGTTCTTGCTGGGAGACAGTTTGGAGGATAACTGGCATATCTGTAAAATACACTTAGTCTGTATTCTGCTGGACCGCGGTGAGAATGCACTTTTTACTTTAATAATCCCTTCTTCCCCAGCAACTTCCCTGTGTAGGACAGAGGAGGGGATGCTTGAGCTGACTTGTAAGGGGTGTAGGAGGCAGAGCAATTGGGGAACAAAGAGATTCAGCTTTGGCAGGAACCCATGGTACCTAGCAACAGTAAAGGTAGGAATGGAAATTGGAGGAGCAGAGTTGATCAGAGTAGAAGGGGGCATGGTAATAGTAGGACAAAGGGGTTAAACTTTGATGTGAACCTACAGCTGCATCTGGAGAAGATCCTGGGTAGTTGAAGTAGAAGACTGGGACAGAGAGAAGGAGGTGGGAACAAAACAAAAGAAAGCTTCTCTTAGTTCACTCGCAGACACTGCCTAGATCTTAAACCAAAGAAAATTAAGTATCTTGGGTCAGAAGACTTCATTCAGCTAGACTCAAGTGTGAGAGATTCGAGAGAAGGCAGCCCAAGGTACTGTTCCTTAGGGGCCTAAACACTTGGCTACCCATGTTGTTAAGATCTGTGGGTGAGGCAACCAACATTTCAGGGTGTCCCCTGGAAACTGGAAGTCTCAGATGTGTAGAAAGGCTATAGATAGTTCAAGTATCCCCGAATGCAATTAGTAGTCTGGGAGAAATGCCTGGTGTTTCTGGATGAACTCTTGGTACAGATTTGTGGTTTTCGGTTATGCAAAGAGAAGAGTTCATTGAGGACAGAACTGGATTCCCATGGGAGTTCAAAATGTCTGGAAGGCTGGGACACCTGGAATGGAGGCTAGAATGACTGAAATGGAGGCTAAAACACCTGGAAGTCAATTTTGTCTAGCTTTAGGAGATTCCAGAAAAAAGGAAGAAGGAGAATACTGATTTCAGAAAGACGAAAGAGGCAGAGATTATCCAGTCAGCAGCCACACACAGAACTGGAGAAAAAGTGAGCAGTGGGACTTTATGCTACCATTCAGGCATCTTGACACTGCATGGGCTGGTTTGAGAGAGAGTAAGGTGTGCCAGTATTCACCCTAAGGTGGGTTGCATCACCTTAACTCATCTCCCATGTTTTGGCATCAGATGTTAGGTTGGTTAGTGGACTTAAGGAAGAAATCAAACAGAATTAGAGAAAACTTAAAGCAACTTTATTTAAAAAGGGCGGGGAAAGCTCCTGGGCAAAGTTACTCATTCTGGAGATGCAGAATGGGGAAGTCACACCATGAACTCATTGGGGAGGGTTTTTATACAGAGTCTTCAGGGGGGGACATTCCATTGTGATTATCGTTCACCCATTAGTTCTGCCAGGTGGTCAGGCCATTCATTTTTCTTGTCGATGTGTGTATTTTTTTGAATTCTTATTTTTTCCCCCTTGGTCCCCCCTATCCAGACCCCCTATCCAGGGACAAAAATAGCAGAATTGAACAAATGGAGTATGCAATCTGTCACACAGAAGATGAAGTCTTTAATACTAATCTACTATGGTAGAGGGAAAAGCAAAAATAAGAAGGAAAGTAAATGAAGAAAGTGTAAGTATTAGGTGGGATATTATCAAAAGAAAAAAACATATGTATGATTGGAATTCTAGAAAAAGAAGTGGGGGAGACGTACCAAGGAAATTTTAGAAAATATTCTAGAATAAAACCTTCCAGATACCATGAAAAATTAGGAAATATCCATTCAAGAGGCTGAGAGAACCCCAAACAGGAGAGACATTAAAAGAAAAAATATTTATCATAGTTAGTTACTCCAAATCAAAGACAAGGATGAAATAATAGAAACAGCTTGAGAAAATGAGTACTTACCTAAAAAAGACTGCTAATAAGATTCATCTCTTATTTTTCAGAGGAACCTATTCCAGCAAGAAGACCATGGGATGACATATACAAAACTCTGAAAGGAAACAACTGCCAATCAGAAATCCTGTATCAAGCAAAACCGTTCATGAAATATTATAGAGAAATTGTTAAATTTTCAGAAAAGAAAAAAATAAAAGAATTAATGGAAAAAAGACCAATTTTGCAAGAAATACTAAAGGAAGTCCTTCACACAGAGACAAAATAGGGAAGTGTATAGATCAAAGTCACCAGCAACACACAAAAAGGAACCTAACAAAATGGAAGCAACACAACCTTGTATATCAATAATCATATTAAATATGAATTGCTTAAACACACCAGTTAAGAGGAAAAGAGTAGTGGAAGGGATTTTTTAAAACCCTCCAAACCAAAGAAACAATTCCATCAACATGCTGTCTATAAGAGACTTAGGTGACTGGGACATAAAGAGCGACTAAAAACCAAGAAGTGGAAAAAAGATACCAAACATGTTGTTGTTGTTATTGTTAAGTGCCGTTGAGTCATAGGCGACTCATGGTGACCCTGTGAAGAAAGTCCTCAACACTTGTGTAACTTTCATCCTTTCTCCAGGTTCATAGGGTTTCCAGAGACAAGCTATTACGGAAATGGATGCCACTCCTGCTTCTAAGCTTGTTTTAATCCGAAAGTGTCACCAAACACTGTCCACCATGGTTAACCATTAATGCATTTGACATATCAGTGTCATAGTGTTCATCTTCACAGCAACCACAAGTTACCTCTGTATGGCAAGTGGACACACCAGGGCTAGAATGTTCGAACAAAAACAAAGAAAAACGGGCCTGAGGGCCGTGGAAGTAAAAAGAAAGAAGGAGAGTCAATATTAAACTCTGATAAAAGAGATTTCAGGATTAAAAAAAATCACAAAAGGCAATGAAACATACTACACGATGTTTAAAGGGTCAACAGAGTAAGCTGTGATGTTGGAGAACAGCACCTAACATGGGTGGCTAAAAACACAGATACTTCTTAGTGTAGGTGCAGCCAGAGTTTTCTTTGAAGGCAAGAAAGATGAGGCTTTGCCTCACATACTTTGGGCATGTTGCTAAAAGGGGCTATTCTTTGGAGAACGACATGATGCTTGGAAGGGTGGAGGGTCAGCAATAGAGAGGAAGACCCTCAACCAGATGGATTGACAAGTTGACTGCCTGATGGCATCGTGTGTGTCAGAAAGTGTGAGGATGGCGCAGGATAGAAAGGGTCCAGATCTTTTGTTCATAGTGTTTCTGTGAGAAGTACTCATCTCAACGGCACCTAAAAACAACAGCAGAGTAAGAAGATAGATATAACCTTAATTATTTTTGTACACTGAATCACGTTGCTGTTTTTAGGTGTCATTGAGTCAATTATGACCCGTGACCTATGACCAACAGATTTGAATCCTGCCCTATCCTGTGCCATTTTCGCACTTCCTGAGAAACTAGAGTTCATTGCAGCAGTCACCTTGTCAATCTACCTGGTCAAGGGTCTTCCTCTCCTTTTCAGCCCTATATCTTTCTGAGCATCTTTCCAGGGAATACCTCCTCTTAGTAACTTATCCAAAGTATGTTAACTGAAACCTCATTAACTTTGTCTCCAAAGAGCACTTTGGCAGCACTCTCTCCAAGACATATTTGTTTGTTCTTTTGGCAATCCATGTGCCTTTCAGCATTCTTCTCCAACACTAAAGATCAAAGGCATCAATTCTTCTTCTGTCATCTTTATTCATTGACCAGCTTTCAGATGCATAGCAAGTGATCAGAAAGACTATGGCTTGAATCTGACTTTAGTTTTCAAATTGGTATCATTACTTCTCAATAATATAGAAAGTTCCTTAATTGTAGATTTCCCAATGCAATTCGTCTCTTGATTTCCTGACAACTGGAGCCAAGGGTGTTAATTGTGGATCTAAAATAAAATAAAGTTGCTAACAGTTTCAATTTTTTTCTCCATCTATTATGATATTCATTGTTAAGACTCTTTGTTTTCTTGAATAATAAAGCTACAAAATGCATAAACAAGTAGGAAAATAAAACTTGATCTGATTATTCCACTACTGAGAATATTCCCTAAAGAAATCAGAGCTAAAACACAAACAGTATCTGCATACTCTTGTTTGTTGCAACATTATCCATGGTGATAAAGAGATGAAAACAGCCCATTAACAAGCTAACAGCGGTACATTCACACAATGGAGTATTACTAAGCATTGAATAACAATGAAGAACTTGTGGAATACTATAGAACATGGATAAATTTAGATGACATGCTGAGTGATATAAGCCATTCAAAAAAGGACAAATGCGGTATAAGATCACTGATATGAAAATAGGATGGTTACCGGAAGGTAGTAGAGCAGGGATAGATAATGAACACAGCATTGGAATAGTCTAAGGGGAGTTCAATTTATAAAGAATGGATGAACAGACATGTGTAGTGCAAGAAATAATCTGGAGTAAGACATGCATAATTGATTGAAAGGGGTTGAGGAGACAAAGGAAAGATTTATACACAGGTAGAAACAACTGTGGATGGCTGATAGAAATGGGAGAGGAGGTTGAGGGAGAAGAGATTATTAACTGAGTAGTTAAAGAGAGGGTACAGCTAGAATTAAATAAGATGTTGTAAATAATGGCATTGTACAGTTGTAACTGATGTTATTTTTGTTAAGTGCCACTGAGTGACCTCTGACTCATAATGACTCTATGTACAATAGCTCTGAAGCC